AGCTATTTTAACAAAACAAAACTCCTCACTTCTCTACACCCAGATAACAAAACTGTCCGCTAGATTACGTTTACGCAACTGTCACATCCCGACTGAAACTGTACGGTTCACCGCACAGCGCTACAATTTTTTCGCAATACGAACAAAGTATCGCGCCATTTTAAAAAAAAAATAACTTACTTTTTTAGTAGTTCCTTCCAGGAGCCGGGAAACTTTATCAGTAAACACTGTACAATATCCCTCTTACACTGGTTACATTTTAATAGCCACGCATCCTTTTACTTCTGTCTCCCTCCTCCTAACTTATAATTTTTCCCTGATACTGCGCTATCATCGCTAAGGCCTATCTATTCATTAGTTTAATGCACGGAAACCACACCTGAAAGTTGGTCGCTTCTCTTCGAATTTCCTCGGCTCCTAAACAGGTGTGTCCCTCTGGTTCTACTTCGGGGGAAATTTTCCCACTCCACACTCTCAACAAATTCCCTTCTATCCTACAAACCGTTAGGCATTCTCCGACACGTATACTCATATATAAACGTCTTCTGTCAGCTAAGAATTAAATATATAATATTAATATCCATCACTTCTCCACTTTGCTTTTCGTTTATATCCGTTTAAATGTTTACATTTATTGGTTATGTCTTATTTAAGAACGCTGAATCAACTACATTTGTTATTAGCATAAAATAAAATAAAATAAAATTATCTGTCAACTAAAAACTCAATGCAGAAAATTCATATTAATCAGTCATCTACACTGCTTCCTGCTTACATTTTAACCTTCCAGTTCTTAAGTTGATTGATTAATCGTTATTTAAGAAAGCTGAATCAGCTGTAAATGTCATTAGCATCGAATAAGATTAAAGAATCATCATTAAGTCAGTTGGAAAAACAGTGAAAAATTGTTATGGTTGTTCACTAAGAGTCAACTGTTGCAAGAAATTAGTTTGAAAATTCTGAACGTCTTCTTATCAAACCAAGACACTGATTTATTTTATGATTATTCAATGACGCTCTTTCAACAAGGGTCTAAACAGATTATGTAGAAGTGAACGAAATATGGTGCATTGTGGGTAAAATTAAATCAGTAAGGACACGATCGTGACCTAACTTAATACAATTTAAAAATATTCTCATTAAGGAAATAAATTAAGAGAAGTGACAATAGTGAATACAAATCTCATATTCCAATCAGTTAGTTTTGTAATATATGAAGTTACCGAAGATATAATATTCCAGTGGTCTGTCCGATATTCTAATGCAAACGAAATACATTACCACTGAGCTAGACTAGGGCAAAGTGAGCAGAGTCTTTTAATTACATACTTGACAGTGTTACAGCTTACACGCCTGGAAGTGCCGATATGCAGAGCTTGTTTGCAGCTCTCGTATCGAACTTCGCAGCAGCAGCTGTTCGGACATTAGCACCGTATCGAACGACAAACAAAGAAATGTGACGGCAGCACAAATAATTCCATTCGCTTTCATTTGTCATTTCTGTTTTTTAACACTGTTTCTATACGCCTACAGGCATTTGGAATCTGAATAGATTAAAATTTAATTCACATATCATATTTCAACTACATTCTTATTTACTAATTTGATCTAGGCAGTCTTTACGAGCGCGTTTGTAGAAACAGAGTCGCTTGTTACTGCCTGGTGGAGACCTTGCTTCGATTCTCTGCAAGAGCATTAACATTCTCTTTGTCACCAAGTAAAAACACGCTCCTAGGCCTTCTAAACTTCCTATCTGTTGTGTACAGTCGGCTTTTGCCTCAGGAGTAATTATGGCCGGAGCTTGAAGCTAAATATTTGTGTCAATCTAAAGCCGAAGTACATATGACACATGCATTTTCCATACATCCTCAATACGTCTTTATGGCTGTCGTGAAAATAAAGACACCGCTATCCCTACTAAGAACTAAACCAAGGCGTAGCAATCGATGGACAGTTATCTTACTAACAAACCTACCTGGATAACCAAAAGCGAATCTGTTGTTCTCTGTAGTACGACAAAGACCCAGGATTTGCGAGTAATCTCGGTATGTTTAATGAGATTTCAGATTGACAGTCGATAATAAACAACGATTGACGTAAACATGTGTGGCATGTCTGTGATATAAACGTGTTTGTCCAGGTACAGGTCGATCTGCCAGCTCAGTAGATCAGGAAAATTGTTTAAAATTTACATAGAACTTTCTATTAAAACACATAGCACATTATTTGTAAACAATACAAGTTACTATTCTTCTAAATTATTAACATTTTACGGTGTAAAGTGGATATTAAGAATCCAGTCCGTACCGCAAAGAAAACACCAAACTTTACCGTTACAAAAAAAATCAATTTGTTAACGCTGTTTAAGGAAATAATCTCTGTTTACACTTAGAATAAGACGAAACGCAAATAAAATATATAGACCTATTCACTGTGAAAGCAAGTGGGACCTATATGTACCACCACGAGTTGAAAGGTTTAAAAACTAATGTGTTATATTATCACTCTCTTCCACATGCATGATCTCCTTCCTGATTGAAATCATAAAATTCTATCGAAAGGCTTCATAAACCTTAAAACCATGGACGACGTTTAGGTTCTGTCTGAACAATTTTACGCAATCTGACAATATATTAGTATAAATTACGCGTACGAATGGACCACTATATTGAAACCTTAGAATACAATCTAAAACCTTTGGAGAAATCTAGGAATCAAAAATTCTTCCAACACCTTTCTTTTATACTGCGACCGGGTGATGGGATTTCTTGCTTTAAAATTTATGCTAACGACCAAGTCATAATTAAACATACAAACATCAGAGTTAAAACTGTCAACTAAAATAACATTGCAACTCTTATGACATTTATATTTCAGTCCGTAACATAGAAACAAAATTATTATTTACTAGAATAATTAACTACACGTTACAACGTAAACTATATTAAAGTTTGTGTTAGATACAGTTAAATTACTATTTACTGTAGGTATCATCAATGCCAGTCTCTGTATAAAATAAACAAATGCTTATTGGGTACTGTTCTCATAAAATTTAATGTTGGTTGCATTGAGAACATCATTTAAAACGGCGTACACAGCGCTAAGCTTCTTTCTTCATGACGCTGATATGACAGGGATATTTGGTGAAAAATCTTCAGCCGTAAAAATGGAGACTTATATCTTCCGAAACGACGGTATGTATGAATTCATACTGCGTTAAACCAGAAATACTGACATCGGCAACAAAGTTTACACTAAAAATATCTTAACTACGACAGGAGAAAAGGACAGTGGACAGTTTAAAAGTAATTTTTTTACCACAGGAATAAAGCATGACAGTCAACACAGACCATTACCTAAGCTGAGTTGTGAGAACTCCAAATGAATGCAAACACAGCGTTTAATTAATACATTTATTTTGAGAAGAAAAAGTGAAATCGTGTAGAATTCACTTTCTTTTACGTGTATAAGAACTGGTGAATCAACAGGTACGTTCGGCTTGACCGAGGGACAGTAATAAAT